TGAGGCTGGAATCTCTGCAGCTCATTGGAAGGGATTTTGCTGACTCTGGTTCAGCGAACGAGGAAGCTCAGTGCATGTGTCACTGTTTATAGCTCGTGTGCCTTGCAGAAAGAGGACCCAGGCGACGAGTCATTCTGAGGGCAAATGGGTGAGTGTCTTACTGTCAGTGAAAACTCAGAGGAAAGAATTGTATTCAGCAGCCGTCACCGAGGAAGCCTCTTAATTGTAATGGACGCTTGGCCAGAGGAGACAAACTAGATACAGTCATTCCTCACTTCACGTTCTCCCAGTTCACACTGTTTCGTTGCTTATCTATTAGAGCACGTGCTTGCTAACTGGTGTGCAGTGTTCCCTTATATTAACATCATTGGCTACCTGCTTAGTCCACCGCGTGCAGGCTTTTCTGGAAAAACAGCCTGTCTTTGAGGGGTAGCCCTATCAGCTCCCCTAAGTTCCCTGTAAGAGATGGGCAATAATTTTTGTAGAGGGGCCATTTCACCACTGGGGTAGTGGTTGCAGGCCAGCCCTGGAAGGGACGGGGCATTAGCTGGACGGGGCGGTTCCCTCTAGGCACCACAGGCACGGTGGGAGATGTCGTGCACTCCCCTGTGGGGCGGGGAAGCATGGGGGGTCTCTCTGCTGCCCCCATGCTGCGGGGGCAAAATGATGAGGGGTTTGGAACGGGTCCCATATGAGGAGAGGTCAAAGCGACTGGGACTTTTCAGTTTAGAAAAGAGGAGACTGAGGGGGGATATGATAGAGGTCTATAAAATCATGAGTGGTGTGGAGAGGGCCGATAAAGAAAAGTTATTTATTAGTTCCCTAAATAGAAGAACTAGAGGACACCAAATGAAATTAATGGGTAGCAGGTTTAAAACTAATAAAAGAAAGTTCTTCTTCACACAGCGTGTAGTCAACCTGTGGAACTCCGTGCCAGAGGAGGCTGTGAAGGCTAGGACTATAACAGAGTTTAAAGAGAAGCTAGATAATTTCATGGAGGTTAGGTCCATAAAAGGCTATTAGCCAGGGGATAAAATGGTGTCCTTGACCTCTGTTTGTCAGAGGCTGGAGAGAGATGGCAGGTCCCCGCTCCCAAAAAAATAGCAGCAAAACTTGTGGTGGGATTGATGGGGGGGGAGTGTGGCTGGGTCGCCTCACGCCCCCCCTTGAAGTTCTTCATGCCCTCTCGGGGGGGCACACCGCTCCCCCTCCCCCAGTTTGGGGAACCCATGCTCTAGGGACTCCAGGGTAAAATTTGTCAAGCAAAAAATGTTTTAAAGGGGGTGCAAAATAGACTCTGTTTCTTTAAGAGGGGGTGAGGGAGTGCTGCGTTCTGCAAAAGCCCTTACTTTCACTTCATGGATCCCCGGGGTTCAACGGAGCACCCACTGGAAAACACTGCTATAGAGATATAATGTGTCTCAGTTTCAGAGTAATTGCAACTGTATCTCTCCCCCCGCCGCCCCCATGGTCTGTAATGCCTTCATCCTATACAAACAAGAATCACATGCTAAATATACTAGGAGTCACGCTTTACATGTATGGTACCCTAGTAACAGGCCACAGTCCTTCCATGAGGGTTGGAGTGTGAGCGGCAGAAAGATGATCTATTGGCTGGGTCAGAAAGTCTTCCCCAAATCAGTTTAAACCCAGCCTTTTTTATATCAAAAGCCCTTTCTTTGTTGGCTGATTTCTCACTGATGTATCTGTTCATGCTGCCAGCTCTGGAGGTCTGTGGTTTGATTCCTGGTGACGGGGTATTGCCTTCCCAAAACTGGCCATGCTCTGACCAGCTGGGGTGGTGCCTTTGCTTTCTGTCTCTCCGGCTGGATGGGAAAGGTCAGGCTGCAGCCCTGATCTCAGTTGGAGTCTCTAGAACAGTGTTTCTTAAACTTTTTGGCTACGTCTAGACTGGCATGAATTTCCGAAAATGCTTTTAAAGGCATTTTTGGAAAAGCACGTCTAGATTGGCAGGACGCTTTTCCGCAAAAGCACTTTTTGTGGAAAAGCCTCCGTGGCCAATCTAGACGCCCTTTTCCGCAAAAAAGACCCCA